GTGACTGGACACGTCCTGCTTTGCATCAACAGTTGAGAGTACCTCTAGTGGGATATCCCTCACTACATATGGCAGATCCCAACCCAAAGTCACCAGCCTAGGCTCCCTAAAAATGTGTCAGCCTGCAAAAACCTTTCTGGTTCACTTGCTTTTACAGCCTCTGTTGTATGGTGACTAGCGCCACCCTGAGAACATCTTCACCCCTCCAAAAAGTTTTGCTTAGCAATATCCTATCAAGAAGGGTTTCCTGAAGAAGGGGGCTGTCCCAGTTGTGGACATCTCTTATCTTAACAAGATCCTAACCTTTCCCAGTTAAGGATATCCCTGATTTCAACGGCACTGTGGACAAGGGTTTAGAGGCCCTCTTTAAGGTCTTTTTCTCCCTGACAGGCCCTGCTATGCAACCTGATATTGCAGCTACTTCAATTTGCCAAACCCAGTTTATCTGGTTCAAATCCATGGCTCAGGACCCGGGATCCATACTGACAGATCCCTAAGGCAAAAGCTCCTGATAGTAAGTCTTCAGCCCCTCTTCTGATGTCATTTTTGGTCCTTCAAGCCATGCATTAATTCTTTTGAGGCCTTCCTTAACCTGTTTGTTAGGCTGGCCTGTTGATATTGTTTGCTGTGTTGCCCACCCCACAGTTGGACTGCTTTTGGATGTCCCAATGGTCTATGTTTTAAAAAGCCGGTGTCCTGTAATATATGATTAAGAAAATAGGATTTTTGTCTAACCTGTAAAATCCTTTTCTTGGAGTACATTACAGCACACAAGTCCCCTGTCCTCTGTTTCATATGATCCAATCCTACTCTTGCTTGCTAGGAGTGGGAGGAGTACTATAGGGCTGTACTTACAGCTTTGTTTGCTAATGTCCAGTCACCTGAAGGCAGGTGTATAACTCAAATGATCAAAGGTTAAAAGAGCCTTTGTGCTGTAAAGTATGCCAAGGATTTTACAGGTAAGACAAAAATCATATTTTTGTTAACAGGCTCTAATACTGAAGCTGCAATTTACACAGAATGAATGACTCATCTGCAGTGACTCATCCCTCATCAGATGTTTCAGTCTGATATTTTAGTCAGAGGAACAGAGCCACAAGGCAAGCAGCCACTGCTATGCTGCCTCTTCAACTAACCCATAGGTCTTTGGACATAGTTGGTCGCATTTAAAAAAATATTTATTTGTAAAACAAAGACTGTGTATGTGTATAGTACATACATATAGACCCAAGACCATTATAATGTTCCTAGTAGTCATTACAGGTTTGGTCTTCCCTGACCCCCTATGAAAAAATTCCAAAAGTTGCTTGATGTCATGGTAGTGTCTCCAACTGTCTACAATACAGCATTATGCTCAGATCCTAGAAGTAAACTGTCAAAATGCGTACATTCTATATTAGATAATGTGGAAAATTTAAATAACGTTGGTTACCTTGCTCCCCTGGCTTGGTATATTAATTTAGCATAACAGTGCTCAAAGGTGGAGTTAAACTTTAAAGTGTATTTCCAATTTTGCAGCCAAATTGAGATAACACCTATTTTATATTTGTTACATGTTCTCATTTACATATAGTAACTTCAAAAACTGCTGCTTACCATATTACTTGCTCTTTCTGAAAGAAAGTTTTCTCTGGAATGTAAGGTGTGAGGAGGACAATGTTTACAATAATAAACCCTATCTATACTGTGCTGGCAGCTGTGCTAAACTAGATTTGAACAATGTCTGTTCTAACAAAGTGTTAAAAATCTAGAAGAATTGTATGTTAGAGAGAAAGCTCAGAGTGTCTCTGGTCTTTCTATAGCCCAAGTTATCTGTCACTTTGAAATTCTACAGAGACGCATGTAGTCCGTCCAAAGGCCTGCTGAATAGAGACAAATAAAAGGTAAGAAATATTTTTTCAGAAAATCATTTTTATTGGGTTTAATACCCACTTCTTACGATTCCCACCCTACGGTGGCGGTACCAGTTCTTCTATTGCTTTGGACTTTCCACAATGCCCAGTCCTCTCCTCTCCGTATTGGATAACCCACTTTTACCTCTTGGACTACATTCCAAGGGCATTGGATCTTGGGACTGATGGTTTTGGCCTCAAATTAGACACATTATGACTGCCACGTCTTTAATCTCCCCAGCTGAGCTAGCTACCAATTGCTCCAGTAGATCCGGGGTGTGGTTTCTTTCTAGGGATGCACCAATACCGTTTTTTCGTACAAGTACAATTACCGATACCGATGCCAATCAGCATCGAGCTGTATATCTCTGAATCATACAGGTGAAACTCGAATAATTAGAATATCATGCAAAAGTAATTGCAGTAAGTGCTGCAAAAGGGGCCCAAACCAAGTACTGAGGACATATGCATGCTTGTACTTTTCAGAGGTCCGATATTGTTCTATGTACAATCCTTGTTTTATTGATTGAATGTAATATTCTAATTTTTTGAGGTTGTGGATTTGGGGTTCTTGGGGTTTTCATGAGCTGTAAGCCATAATCATCACAATTATGACAAATCACGGCTTGAACTATCTTGCTTTGCATGTAATGAGTCTATCTCATATATTAGTTTCACCTTTTAAGTTGCATTAGTGAAATAAATGAACTTTGCACGATATTCTAATTATTCGAGTTTCACCTGTATATCAGTCCTTTTGTAATTCAAGAAATCAAAATGATTGGCAACACATCTTAATAGTTGCTTTAATCACATTGATAGATGCTGCAGTGGTACATGGAATTGATAAGCAGTCCTATTTTAAACAAATGCTGAACAGAAAAAGAATTAATGTGTAATATAAATTGCAATGATATTATTGATATACTGCACAGTACCGGTCATGGTAGTCTCATGTTAGTGTTTCAGTGAGGCTCTGTGAATGTACATACTATTACTAATATTCTGCCTACTCGATGCTCATTGGCCGGGAAGCCCGTCTCCCAGCCAATCAGCATGGATCCAGCTGTTCGCTAGCTCGATGCTGATTGGCGGGGAAGGTGGCTTTCCAGCCAATCAACATGGAGCCGGCTGTTCGGCTGGCTCGATGCTGATTGGCCAGGAGGCTGGCTTCCCAGCCAATCAGGAAGTCGGGTCATTACTCGCTGCCCGGCTTCCTGATTGCCCGGGAAGCCGGCTCCATCATTGTCTGGCCTGAAGTTCTGGTATCGGGGAAGGTATCTGAGCATTTGAGTACTAGTACTCGCCCAAATACTCGATATAGGTGCATCCCTAGTATCTACAGTAATTGTTTTCTTACTATGATAATACCCCACAACTCTCCTTACTCTCTATTTGCCAAGGATCCCTCACGAAGGTGGAAAAAAAGAAACCCGCTTTGCGTTTCTTTTTAATTGCAAGACACGCAATTCCTTTACACTGAAAATCAAGCTCTGTTCCTTCTTTAGTGGAATGGTTGGAGGCCCTTAATGACATTATGAGAATGGAGGAGATGCTGGCTTTCAATTGTGATAGAATGGCCTCTTCAAAACATATGGGCGGCATGGATTGTATACTAAGCCAAATTGACAGCACTTTTCGACTTAACCCATAAGTTTCGATATCTTTCCTTTTCTCTTTCAGTTCCTTGATTTTTCTCCTTTTTAGTTAAGAATTTTCCTATTCTTGTCTCTCTTTCATCCCCACTCTCTACATGCTCTTATTGCACATGTTTGTTTCCTGGTTGTCTTCCATGTATTGGATATACCTAAGTAAATTGGATACTTTCATACTTATGATGTATCATATTCTACGTTACAGGACCTAGTTTGGTGGTTTTTAAACATGTGACACTGCCTTACAATCATTCCTGATGTTTCCGTTTTGCCCTCAACCCACTTTCTATATGACAGCCGAGTTCTTCTATGCCTACCTATGTCCTTTTGTATTTATATATGCAAAATAAAAAGTGGTTTTCTCAAATTTGACAAACAAAAGTGGAAATACACTTTGAAGGCTCCCTATATGAAAGGATGGCAGAGGACATAGACAAGCTGACCAGGAACACATATGTCAAGGTGTGCTGAAGGACAACAAATACAACCACCACATTCAAAGTGCAAATAACTAGACAGGTTTTTCCCAATTCTGTAACTGATGCTGGAATCTTTCTTACCCTATGGCTGCCTGCTCTTCCATGGCATGACAAACCATGGCTCTGCATTTTATGAATGAAACATAGGATGCAGGGGCAATGTGGAGTATTTACTGGGGGTGTACAATGGAGAGTGGTTAGCAGTATCCACTCTGTTTTAAATTGGCCTCTATGTGAGGTAATGCATCAGCAGCTGCCATGTGCAATGTTGTTCTGGAAATCACGTCTTGACAGTGTTAAAGCCACATTGTTACTTCAAAAGAGATTTTATTTTTTTAAAAGATTTATTTATTTTTCTACAAGAAAAGAATAAAAAAAAATATAGAAATCTCTAAACATGGAAATGTATTTTTTGAGCACAAACCTAAATAATGAAGGAATGCGGAAAAAGGGTGTTTAGGGGGTTTCTACCTGTAGATGGGTCTGAATAACGATCCAAATTATCAAAAATAAAGTCTCAGCAATAAACAGAAACCAGAGGGGAATTTTGGGTAGAATAATCATTGTTACTAATGCTTCTATTTAAATTCTTTTTTTTTTTAACCCTATCTCTAGTTTCTTTCAACCTAGTACTACCATTCTGTGTTCCTATTGCTAGCTGTTTCTTTTGTATCAGATATGTTGCAAGCATTCTGTCACATAAGTGAAAAGTGCTCTCTCTGACTTTTTCGCTATAGCGTTTACAGTGCTTAATACCCAACCTTTTCCATCAGTCTACCATCTCATCACCTTTATTAACCAGCCAGCCTCCTAGCTGTATCTTGAAATGTTGTCCCTTTGTTTCTGTCCACCAATGACTGTCTCTATTGAGAAACGGTGTCACTGTCTTTTTCCAAGACATCAACTATCCCTCCAACATAGCTTTCCTCTACAGGTCCCTCCATGAACTTCTCACGTTCTGCCCCCCTCCTATCTGTCTCTTGCACATTCTACCCTCCCTAGCTGGTATAGCCACACTCACATGTTCTACCTGAATCAATCACTTCTTTTCAGTTCCTAACCTTCTTTTCTTTCTACCCCACACAAGCCTTCTCATCTCTAGCTACCCACCATCTTTCATCAGCCCTAACCTTTTCTTCTTTCTTTTTTATGTGGATCATGGATTTTGGGCAGTCAAAGGGCACTTCTAATACCATCTGCCCTTCAGTGCTCTGTTCACTCAGTGCTTTCACATGGTTCTGGGCTGTCTCTTAGACTTGGGCCTTGGGACGGGGGGGAGAGCACAGGTCTTGGTCTTCCTCGAATGTAGCCTCCCTTTCTACGTGATCTTCTTCCATGGTGTACTTGAAGATGGAGACTCATTAGTTCTCCCACAGAGGTGACGAAAGGACAGTACATGCAACGGTGGAAAGGGTTTCCTTGTGACAAATCCAAGGGCTCATGCTCTGGTCTCCCATTTGTTGGTTGATGTGAGGGACTCCTCCTTCTCTGGCCACCTCTGCCAGGCATTCGAGGAAATACACTGGGACCCTGGCCCTCACTTAAGTGGAGACGGAGAGGCAAGGTAGCCCCATCCTCACAGGGGGTGGGCAGATCAGGGCAGGAACTTCCCCAGGTAGAAGACACAGCAGGAAGCAGCCGCTCTTGCTGGGATGCACCTTGCTGAATACTCTTACCCCTTAGAGGGACACCTGAAGAAAGTTTGGAGTCCCGATGATGTCGTTGTAGGTGATATTTCAAAGACCCAGATTGAGTGCCAGCATAAGAGCAATGGGGGCATTTATATGGTCGCTCTCCTGTGTAGAAGAAAAAAAAGAAGATAATTACCCGTAGAATGAGGAGGAATACTTGAACAGCGAATGGGAAACAAATAATTGTACAATGGTAAACAGAGATGAGTGATCTACTAATAAAGCAGATCAGATGGTTTCTGGCAAATAGTTTTCTTCCCTATTTCTGAATTCATCCATGCAGATTTTTCCAGCCTGTGAAGAATAATGCAGTTCATAAACTGCAGGATGACTAGATGGCAGGAAGAATATGCATACACATATTCATCCACGGTTCTGTGGAAAGGCTAAGATTTAGCCAGCCCACCCAAAATGCAAATCAGTTCACTTATCTCCAAAAACTAAAATAACACAAAATCTCTTGCGCCAATATAAGAAACAAACTTATAGCTGCAGGCACAAAGTGATTCCAAAGTATGAATACACCCAAAAAGTTCAAAAACAAAAGTGCAGCATTATTTATTTATTTTTGAGTTCGCTTACCTCCGGTGGTAAGACACTAAAGACAGTAGAGAAAACAATTCATCTGCAGCTGTTTTTAAACAAAACACGCAATTTATCTAATACAAAAATAGTTTTAAAAATACGTTAAGAAATATTAATTCAACTGAAAAGTTTGGCTACAGGCACTTTCTTACCTGTGTGAACTCGCAAATGCACCTTTAGATGATGGGAAGAACGGAATGATTTGGCACAGAAGGGGCAGTCTCTTCCAGTTGCTCCACGAGGCCTCTGAGAGGAGTTGACACTCCATCCATTCTTATCTGAAGAAGAAATGAAGTGAGTGCTGAAAAAATCACACAAATAACTTACTCCTCTGTGTGCCTGTAAAAAGAACAAAATAAAAAATAAAAGGTATTCCCCCGTATACATGTAAAAAGAAGATAATAACAAGATATGCAAGTTGCTTTCTTACCTATACATTAAACCAAATGAAAATATAAAAGGAGATCCAAGCTATTGGCTGTCAGATATCTTATGAATGGTGTGGTAGGTACTATCACCTGGCAGGTGATCTGATCAGTCCATGCCCATCCAAACATAAAAGTATCAGCTTTGAGAGCACTAAGCATTTGGACTGAACCTCTGCTCTTTGCAGCTGGGCCAAGCTGTGCCCTAGAGAACATGCTCGTGCACTGTTTTGATCCATGCAAGTATGCTTTGTAATGTCTATTTCCAGGTCTTTAGTACAGTTTCCTAAAAAGTAGGCACGTATATGCACAGTGGAGCAGTTCAAACATAATCTGCCTCCTTTGACATATTCATTCCTGTCAAGGAGTTTTTTCCCCAACTCTGATAAATAGTGGCAGCAATCTTCCTCCTAGGCTTTTAATGGGAAACTTTCCACACATACAAATTGAGATGTCCAGTGCAAGGAACACTATCCACCACAATGTAAACAAAATATAAAATGTATAATAGTAATAGTAGTGTAATAATAATATTAATAGGTGTATGGTATTAGCACACACACACACTATAGATTGTGTTGTACATTTAGGAGGTACTCCAAAAAAGAGGTTTGGTCAAATCCAAGGATCTTTTTTGTAGCACAGATCTATACACACACACACGCACACACACAATAGGAATCAGAGGTCCCTCAAGGTCACTTAGATAGATAGGCACCTAAACAACAGGTGCCTGTCCTTCAATTGCTTTTTCTAGTGTGAAGACTCGCTGTGATACTTGTCCAACAGTGACAATTGTGCAGACATTGTTATTTTGATGATTCTTTACTCTTCTCTGCAGAAGAGGGAAGAATAAGCTCCATTCACAGGGAGATTTTTTTCACCAAGCTGTTAACATCTCCCAGAGTGAGAATGCACATTTCTAACAAATTGAGGTGCTTATTATCACCTGCAGAACGCAGAAACGGCTGATTTGTAAAGTTTGATTTCTGGAGCATTACTAGCTGTAATTAAATGGTTTATGCCAATCTTGTTTCTGCAGAATTCAGATCATTCCCAATTACTCTCTGATCCTGTTGAAACTAAAAGTATTATTAAGTAATAGAAATCTGGTATTTTTGGGCACCTTCAGAGCAGGAAGAGGGGTATTTAGAAAACATTCACCCCGCAAAACTACATTTACATTTGTTCTGTGTGAATGGGGGAAAAAACAAATTTATTTTTTTCCAGGTCGAATTTAATATCAGGAAAATACAGCATCATGGCCACGAGATGGAGCTGATAAGCATAGGAAATAAATACTTCTTTCCTGTGCTCCTCAGCATCATCTAGTGGCCATGATGTGGTAATTTCTAGATATTTTGTTTGACCTGGAAAGAAAGTGTACTAAATAACATTTGCTTTTGCCCCCATTCGAACAGAACAAATGTCCATTCATTTTTTTAGGATAAAAGGGTTCTGCCGATTTTTTTAAAAATATAAATACACTCCTTAGTATCACCTCTGTAATTGAATTTTTAGTCCAAACTACACCTCTTTGCTAGCAATCTGGGACTTCTAAAGACATAAGAAACAATCTAGCTTTAAAATGCAAATGTTAAATGCAGTCATAAACGTAAAATCATACAAACATGTCTGGTTTTCTGATGTTACTAAAATGCTGCATAAACATCAACACTTTAATAAGTCTATTGGATGGATAATATGGTTGAATACCCTGAAACACTCTATAAATCACATGATTGCTTTAATTGTAATTCGTATTAAACAGAATTGGGAACCATGAACAGATGTAATCTGCATTCCAACTGAATTAAATATTTTCCTATGGCTGGGGATCATGCTTACTGCAGATCTGTGTATGTTATGTTCAGTGTTTGAGAAGTGAATAATCTAGGACAACATAGCTGAACCAGAAAGTGAGCTGAATTGGAGAAGTTTTCCAAATCAGTTATGCTGTCCTCACTTCTCCTGCCTTTTCCATACTCTTAACCCTTTAGTGAATAGACCTGAAAATGTTTTCAGATAATGTCTACTATATTACTACTGCATCTCGTCATATTTGTAGTCTAGTTCCAAACTTTATGTTTTGATAAGGTTGGGGTTCTTGGTGGATCAGACATTATGTTCCGATAGGGTCGGGGGTCTAGGTGGATAAGACATTATGTTCCGATAGGGTCGGGGGTCTGGGTGGATAAGACATTATGTTCCAATAGGGTCTGGGGTTTGGGTGGATAAGACATTATGTTCCGATAGGGTCGGGGGTCTAGGTGGAAAAGACATTATGTTCCGATAGCGTCGGGGGTCTAGGTGGAGAAGACATTATGTTCCGATAGGGTTGGGGGTCTGGGTGGATAATATATTATGTTCCGGTAGGGTTGGGGGTCTTCGTAAATAAGACATTATGTTCCGATAGGGTTGGGGGTCTGGGTGGATAAGACATTATGTTCTGATAGTGTCGGGGGTCAAGACATTATGTTCTGATAGGATTGGGGGGGTCTAGGTGGATAAGACATTATGTTCGGATAGGGTTGGGTGGAGAAGACATTATGTTCCGATAGGGTTGGGGGTCTAGGTGGATAAGACATTATGTTCCGATAGGGTTTGGGGTCTAGGTGGATAAGACATTATGTTCGGATAGGGTTGGGTGGAGAAGACATTATGTTCCGATAGGGTTGGGGGTCTAGGTGGATAAGACATTATGTTCCGATAGGGTTTGGGGTCTAGTTGGATAAGACATTATGTTCCGATAGGGTTGGGGGTCTAGGTGGATAAGACATTATTTTCTGATAGGGTTGGGGGTAGAGCTGCAGCTAACGATTATTTTCAAAATCGATTAGTTAGCCGATTATTAATTTCAAATAATCGGTTAATCGGATAAACAATCAAATACATTTTTAAAAATGGCTCCAGTGATGGACTACTAGTTTGTATTGAGATTGCACTCCATCACAGGAGCAAGATTGGAGCGGTAGAAGTAAATAAAAATCTGGGGGTCTGAGTGGACGATGTATAGGGGTTTGAATTTATAGTGGCCTTTGTATTTTGTTTTCTTCTGCAAATTTATATAATAAGGAGAACCCTTAAAGTATTGATTTTCCACTCTCAAGAATGAAGAAGCTAAGCTTTTTAATGTCAAGTGGTAATGTTCATCCCTGGTAAATTCAGAGAAGCACTTTTTTGCTTTTATTTGTATAGTAGTCATTTAGAAACAGCGAGGAATATGCTGGTACAGACTATTACAATGTACAAATGGCTCTGTCTGTACTCCTCCAGGTTAATCAATGTAAGCATATTTTTTACCATCAGTCCCCGTAAAAATCAAAACTAAAAAAAAGAATTGCCATAACTCTCATAAAAATGCCAAGTCCAACTTTATTCATATTTCTACATCTAATAAACACAAAACACATTAGTTGCTCATAGTTTTAACATTCCATTCATTTACAGCAGCTGGCTTTTACAGCTTACTAAATCCATATGCTTGCAGAAATCCCTGTTACTTCAATCCAAACACTTTTTTTTCCGTTCAACCCACAGGTTGAACAAAGAAAATATAACAGATTTCTCGATCAACGCTTACAAGCGTTGGTCAAGGATTCTCCCGCCGGCCACAGAATACCCCAACAGAGGCGGCAGCTCATTGGCTGCCCGTCTGTTGGTTAAAGGATTTTCCGACCGCTTCCTTCGATCAGCTGATTAAGGGATGCTGGCCGAAAGGGTGCCGACAGTGGCACCCACTATGCCAATTTCTGCCAGTTCCTGTAGAACTGGCCGAAATTCAAATAATGTATTAGCAGCTTTACACTGTGAAAATGTAGACCAAATGTTCCAAGCATCACCCTTTGTAGTTCTCACAGAGTCATGTGACTAAGGGCTAAAAAAAACTCCTGGCTGGAATGGATAATTTAAAAAAAAACTCTCGACTTGAACATACACAGAATCTTTCCTGTATAGAAGGATGGAGTCAGGGCCGTCTTTAACGCAGGGCAAAGAGGGCACTTGCCCCGGGCCCAATAAAGGTTGTGGGGCCCGAGGCATCTGCCCCTTGAGCCCGCTGCTCGCAGAAAATTGCCGATCGGATCGCATAGTATAATACATTATGGCAGCGGCCGCATACAGCAATGCCATAACGTATTGTCCTATGCGATCTGCACGATCGCATCCTAAAGGTAGCTCCTCCCCCGGCCCCCGCATAGCATGACATGTCACGGGCTTACCTGGAGGACGTAAGGCTGTGCGGACGGGTGCCTCACTCACGTCCAGGACATCCGGAAAGAGGCAGACTGGCACGAGGCAAGGACTGACTGAGGCAGGTAGGTGAGAAAATAAAAAAGGAGAAATATAAAGGAGATATACAATTTGTATATCTCCCTGAAAAGCTCACTCCATTTCTGTTCTGTCCTTCATATATATGTGAATAACATGATTGATAGAATTACAATGCATGATAGTAGAAAGCCATGATTAGACATAATTAACATGATTAGATAATCAGACTTAACAGAGACATGATTGTTTGTAATTTGACATGATACAGCGTTATTGAAGGTTTAACAGAGGAGGAGCCTAGTTTTCTCTCAAAGTTTTGCGCTTATGGGCGCTGTAATGGATGTGGTATATATTCTTCAGGAGAGGGAGGTTGTTCAGGTTAATTATGTCTAATCATGGCTTTCTACTATCATGCATTGTAATTCTATCAATCATCTATCAATATTCACATATATTGAAGGACAGAACAGAAATGGAGTGAGATTTTAAGGGAGATATAAAATCATGTTGTTACATAGTTACATAGTATTTGAGGTTGAATAAAGACATTAGTCCATCAAGTCCAACCTATGGAGTTGCTGGTAAACAATAGACAGTGGCAATATTCTTGTTACAGGTGGGAAGGGAACCCAAAGCGAAAATGAAAATTCAGCAGAAAAAGACCAGGTCCCCTCCTTTGCCAGACTGTGCAGTGCAGCTGAGGTGAGTAAATCTCAGAACTGGACAGACAGAAATGTTTTAATATGTGCATTTATCTATTTTTCTGGAATCCAGCTTTAACTATTCCTGAAAATGTACAAAAATCAGTATGGTTTGCAGGAAGCCTCAAATATGCACCAGAAGTGGAATAAGTGTCTCAGCAATGCAGATTTCCACAACACATGCACTGTTGGTAAAACTGGAGGACAGGCATGGGAAGCACTACCCTAAACTTAACTGTTTAACACCTCTCAACTGACAATGCCAACTTTTCTGCACACTTTTCATTTTCCACTCTGAGTGCAGTCTGAGCAGAAAGATGGGAATAGTTATGAAAAAAGAAGCAAACATTAAGAGGATTCTTTACACACCGACACTAATTTTTTTGTGTACATAAGCTTTATAGATTTTAGTTTACAGTCATGTACATCCAACCCGTCCAACATGCACCCTTTTACACTATACAGAATACTCTAATCCTGAACTCCTATCGCTCTAATAAATCTCCATGCATTTAAACAAACCCTTTGAAAGTTTACTGACTAAAGATGGCCATACAACAGTAGAATTTAGTTTGAATTTTTTTTTTTCAGGATTGATTTGATTTTCTTATAGATAGTGGGATCAAACTGGCCATTGTTTTCGCCTGTAGTGAAAAATTAAGAGCGGGATGGAAACATTTTCTCAAACGAATTCTAAGAGTGAATGTGGATTTTGCCTGGGAAAACTCCATTCATTCCAAAATCAAATGTTAAAATCAAAAAAGATTTCAAACGACATTCGTCAAGTCTCTGATGGCATTATTGAATGTTCTGACAAGATTTTTTGTATGAAATTTTACTAGTCTATGGCCACACACTACACTCTGTGTAGAATTATTAGGCAAGTTGCATTTTTGATGATTCATTTCATTATTGAACAACTCCAGTGCCCTCGGTCAATCCAAAATGTTAATAAACCTGAATATGTAAGAAAGTAAAAGTGATGTTTTGGCTTTCTTAGGAGAATATCTGTGTGTGCACAATTATTGGGCAACTATTAGTGTGCAGGATTATTATGCAATTAAATGGAAAACAAAAATCTTCCCATCTCACTTGTTTAGTTTCATCTGTTAAAGTGAGAATAATAAACAAACAACTCAAAATGTACAAATAAACATTTCTGACATTTTCAAAAACAAAATCAGTGACCAATATAGCCCCCCTTCTTTTCAGTAACAGTCACAAGCCTTCCATCCATGGAGTCTGTCAGTTTCTTCATCTGTTGATGAATCAACTTTTTGTGCAGCAGCAACCACGGCCACCCAGACACTGTTCAGAGAGGTGTACTGTTTTCCTTCACCGTAAATGTTCCGTTTAAGAAGAGGCCACAAGTTCTCAATAGGGTGCGATGGAGCATTGTCCTGCATACAGATCATGGTCAGACTTTGTCCTGGACCACTGCTTGAAGAAAGTGTCTTCTAAAAACTGGCAGTAGGTTTGGGAGTTGATCTTGAGTCCACCTTCAACCCGAAAATCCAACTAGCTCATCTTTATTAATACCAGCCCACCAGTACCCCACCTCCACTTGCTGGCGTCTGAGTCGAAGTGGAGCTCTGTGCCCGTTACTGATCCAGCCATGGGCCCATCCATGTGGTCCGTCAAGAGTCACTCTAATCTCATCAGTACATAAAACCTTTGAAAACGCTGTCTTCAGATATTTCTTGGCCCAGTCTTGACGTTTCAGCTTGTGTGTCTTGTTCAGTGGTGTTCAGTGGTGGTCGGGTTTCAGCCTCCCTTACCTTTTCCATGTCTCTGAGCACTGAACATCTTGTACTTCTGGGCACTCTGGGTAGGTTGCAGTTCTGGAATATGACAGCCCTGGAGGATAATGGGTTCCTGGTAGCTTGATGGTTCTGTGATCTGTGGTTCTGTGTTTTCTTTGCTGCATCCCTCTGAAATACTTTTTTTCAGTTTTTGACTTTTCAGAGACAGTTAAATCTCTTTTTTGGCCCATTTTGCCTGAGGAAAAGAAGCTGACTAATCATTATGCACACCTTGATATAGGGTGTTGATCTCCTAAGGCCACACCCTCCCTCATTACACAAATACACATCACCTGATATGCCTAAATCCAATCAGCATTCATGTTTATACAGCTTGGAGTTGGACAATATGCATAAAAATTGTGATTTTGTCAAAATACTCACTTGCCTAATAATCGTGCACACGGTGTAATAGATTAGCCTGCAAGGCTACATGAAAACAAGTCTAACAGATTCCTAGTGCTAGCATGGATGGACAACTCTCCCCTTGGCAGCTATTGTATTCAGCAGTCGATGCTCTTCGGCTGCTGAATACCCAAACAGTGCCCACATCTGATGGGATGCAGGCTCTGTTCAGCCAACAATTTTTGAACGGGATCCTTCTACAGGGCGACCAAAATTTGCTCCGCGTATTACCAGCTTAAGCTCAATTATTTTAGACAGAAAAGGTAGACAGAAGTCCAGAGTCAGATATTCTGTACCTTATGGAATGGGTCATGCTCCCCTGAATTGTGAAGGTGCTTGAATTTAAAAACACTGAGCAGAACAACAGGGCTCTGCTAGAAGTAAACAGTAAAAATATTAGGGATGCACCGATATATCGGCCGCCGAAACATTCTTGCTGATATAGTGTTGCATCCTGTTCTCTCCTTCCTGCTGGGAGCTGCTCTGTGTCCCAGCGGGGAGGAGAGAAACTGTCACAGGCAGCCGAGGGCTGCGGGAGAAGAGTGCTATGAGCGGCTGGCGTCTTTCCTCCCACACCACTCAGCCTCCTGTCACAGATGGGCAGAGCGGTGTGTGGGCGGAGACAGCCAGCGCTGTCAAAGCAGGCTGAGCTCCGGTTGCTCACTGACACAGGAAGGAGAGCGAGGTACAAACACTCAGTGATGAAATCAGTTTTGAAATTTTAATTCTCTCATTTCATCAGTCCATAAAACCTTAGTAAAATCAGTCTTCAGATATTTCTTGGCCCAGTCTTGACGTTTCAGCTTGTGTGTCTTGTTCAGTGGTGGTCGTCTTTCAGCCTTTCTTACCTTGGCCATGTCTCTGAGTATTGCACACCTTGTGCTTTTGGGCACTCCAGTGATGTTGCAGCTCTGAAATATGGCCAAACTGGTGGCAAGTGGCATCTGGGCAGCTGCACGCTTGACTTTTCTCAGTTCATGGGCAGTTATTTTGCGCCTTGGTTCCTGGTAGCTTGATGGTTCTGTGATCTGTGGTTCTGTGTTTTCTTTGCTGCATCCCTCTGAAATACTTTTTTTCAGTTTTTGACTTTTCAGAGACAGTTAAATCTCTTTTTTGGCCCATTTTGCCTGAGGAAAAGAAGCTGACTAATCATTATGCACACCTTGATATAGGGTGTTGATCTCCTAAGGCCACACCCTCCCTCATTACACAAATACACATCACCTGATATGCCTAAATCCAATCAGCATTCATGTTTATACAGCTTGGAGTTGGACAATATGCATAAAAATTGTGATTTTGTCTTTGTTCGATGATCACGCTTCAGAAGCTTTGCAATTTTAAGAGTGCTGCATCCCTCTGCAAGATATTTTATTATTTTTTACTTTTCTGAGATCCTAAATCCAATCAGCATTCATGTTTATACAGCTTGGAGTTGGACAATATGCATAAAAATTGTGATTTTGTCAAAATACTCACTTGCCTAATAATCGTGCACACGGTGTAATAGATTAGCCTGCAAGGCTACATGAAAACAAGTCTAACAGATTCCTAGTGCTAGCATGGATGGACAACTCTCCCCTTGGCAGCTATTGTATTCAGCAGTCGATGCTCTTCGGCTGCTGAATACCCAAACAGTGCCCACATCTGATGGGATGCAGGCTCTGTTCAGCCAACAATTTTTGAACGGGATCCTTCTACAGGGCGACCAAAATTTGCTCCGCGTATTACCAGCTTAAGCTCAATTATTTTAGACAGAAAAGGTAGACAGAAGTCCAGAGTCAGATATTCTGTACCTTATGGAATGGGTCATGCTCCCCTGAATTGTGAAGGTGCTTGAATTTAAAAACACTGAGCAGAACAACAGGGCTCTGCTAGAAGTAAACAGTAAAAATATTAGGGATGCACCGATATATCGGCCGCCGAAACATTCTTGCTGATATAGTGTTGCATCCTGTTCTCTCCTTCCTGCTGGGAGCTGCTCTGTGTCCCAGCGGGGAGGAGAGAAACTGTCACAGGCAGCCGAGGGCTGCGGGAGAAGAGTGCTATGAGCGGCTGGCGTCTTTCCTCCCACACCACTCAGCCTCCTGTCACAGATGGGCAGAGCGGTGTGTGGGCGGAGACAGCCAGCGCTGTCAAAGCAGGCTGAGCTCCGGTTGCTCACTGACACAGGAAGGAGAGCGAGGTACAAACACTCAGTGATGAAATCAGTTTTGAAATTTTAATTTCTGTGCACCTCTAAAAAATATGAAAACTAATGTCACATTCTCATGTCCACTGCAACAGTACAAAATAAAGGCAAAGCTTATAACATAAGCTAAAGAAGGTTCCCCTAATCAGCCTTGCATTAGGTATGGAGGGATGCAGGCCCACATTCTATAGTTGCATTTTAATGATATGGTCATGTTCAGAACTCTTAAAGTTTATGTAATCTAAGAACTAAAATCTCATGTAAGCTTTAACATGTTATGTGATTTTATTTCATGTAATTTTGAATCTAATTTTCATTATTTTTAAATATGTAGCTAAAAAAACCCTGGTGATCTCGCCAAATAGGTCCTTGTTGAGGCACTTCCTGTTTCAAGGTGACAATGCTCTGTCCCGGTCTCCCAATTGTGCCTCCTGTGTTGTCAATCTGCTCTATGGGCTTCCAATGGAAACTGCACACATTATGCATGAATGGCTGAGAGATGCCATGCAGCTATTGCTAGAGTGCATGCATATAGACATGATGTGGCTGCAAATAGAATGCAGGACATCAGCAGCACCAAATAATGAAAAAAGGTGAAACAAGTATTTAAAAATAAATTACAATTGTTTATGCTTTAGAAAACTAAAATGTCATTAAATTAGGGTTTACGTCTACTTTAAGTAAGGGATGGTTTGCAGTACTTTTTTTTTCAGCACACACCACTGCAACTTTGAACTGAGTTGATTCAGGGCAAATAGGCTGGTCTCTGCGTTGGGACTACATTGAGCAGGGCTGCCAGCACAGCCTCAACACACCTGGTGTGAACAGGCCCTAAGAATGGATGTAGTATACTTTATTTTGTAAGATTGTATTAAGCAATTATTGTGATAACCTCAGTGGCTATGTGATCAAAATGTACCCTGCATCATACAGTCAATAACAACACCTTTTATAGAATGGACTATACATATGTGTCCTCCTTGTAATGCAAGTAAAAAAAATGAGTATATCTGCTAGGGAAACTTTGTAATCAGTGCAAGAGAAATGCATTTGTGACTTTAACTTTATAATTGCATGCTAATGTCATTTTTTGTCATAGAATAAGAATTTAAGGGAGGAGAACATCTGTTTAGTGAGTGTGTAGGAGTTAATGCAAACAACGATCACCCAGTAAAAGAAATGTTTCTTAACTACTTGAGTCTCCAGGCCTTTTCTCCCTAAATCTTTGAGTCCCAGAGCATTTTTCCTTGTTTCAGCGATGTTTTGCTTCTCCACACTATATCTTTTAGGTTTTGTAGTCTACCGAAATGCATTATAATTGGGGGGTTTTTCGGGACAGATAAGACTTTAATTCGGTAGCAAATTTGGATACATACATTTTTGCATCTGAGAACGGGCACCATTTTAAAACGGCACTGGGATGAATAGCTGCTATCCCAGCACCATTTTAAAATGTAGGCTGTGATTCAAGTGGTTTAAACATCCTTGGACGGTGGTTTAAATTACTTTAAAAAAACTAGTCCACCTTTTGCAAAAAATGAATAAATGCACACAAATCATTAAGAAAAAAATGTGCATTTATTAATAGTATTCACTAAAGCCTGCAAGGCATTGCAACGGTGATCACAAGCTCCTGCAGACTCTCTCCTAGTCTCTGGATATAAGGGACTGTTATAGACTTTCAGTTACGAGAAGGGACGAAGTGTCAATGGACTAGAAGTGCTGTGATGTCATTGCACTTGTACTCCTTTGAGAACTAGGAGTCCTTCTGCTGTGGTGGGTCTTGCAGTCTCTCCATTCAAAGTTCCTGTGAAAGGATCTTTGCATGGATGACATGGTTGCATGATGGCATAGGTAGAGCAATGCACAGCGAGCCAAATCGATAAGTTGCCTGGATCCTGCGGGAAGAGGAACCCCACTATTCAGGGAGGGGGGGGGGGTTGGATGAGGACCTGACCATATGAATGAATATGGGTGTAACATGAAACATGGTCAGATTAAAGGAATAACTCTTTAAGCACTTATGACAATGCAAATGCAAGTGATGCAACAGATTCTAACATCCTTTGCAACAACCAAGCAGTGCAATAGCAAGCAGTATCTTTGAGCGCTGGAAGTCTTTATGGTTTTATGACCGAATTTCTGTATGCACATGGACACCGATACTTTCACTAAAGACAAGGAATCAGTCATTTCAGTACACATATGTTTGATGGGTGACTTGGTAGAAAACCATTGCAGGTTCTGTGGTTCATTCAAGGACAGGCAGATCAGTCAATTATCCTCATTCTTGACGAGAGAACTACCTATCTATGGTTGCCCTGAGCCTCATGTCATACTGGTTACTACTTTTGGTAATGCCTTAGTTGAAGCAAACACTTGCAGAAATCTCAGTGGGGAGACAAGTACTAAAAGATATGACTATCATCTCTTGAAATAGGCTCCGACCCGGGAGGAAGGGGGGTGGTACGAGACTTTACACTTCCTCTCCAGTCTACTTTTACAGTCAAGCCAAATACCTGTTTTTACAATCTTCTTTTGTAAACCCTACAATATGTTTTCCACTTTATGGAAAACAATAGACTGATGGATTAGAATCTCACATTTAGTTTACTAAACTGTATTGAGATTGTAGTCTATCACAGGAGTGAGCTTGGAGCAGTGACTGCTTTACAACACACACAGGGACAATGGGGAACCAAAGTAGCCACCCTCCAGAAGGAAGGATAGTGTCAGCACCAATTCAGAGATGATTTGAGGGTCTACAGCCGAGTGATACACAAATAAGATATATTTGTGTTAAAAGTTAGGGTACTTGAATGCATTTTCTATATTCAATTATAGATTATGAGTTTACATAAAGTAATATTAAACTCTCAAAGTTTTTCAATAAAGAATTTCTTGGCTCCAACTCTTTTATCTCCACTTCCCTGAACTTCCTGTCCAGTACAAGATCACAAGGGACAGAGCAATCTCCAGCTGTTGTCCATCTACTAGCTTGGAGAAGGGAAGGGGAATTGGCTTGCCATGTGTTTATGGAGACACACACAACTTACTAGCAGAGATGGGTGGCTCCATAGAACCCCACAAGGGAAAGGAGCTCAACCATACAGCTGCTGGTGTGCATATCCCCGAACATAGCCGATGTGTCAGACAGAGCGGCATTGCACGGTTTCTTTTTTTTTTGTGTAAAACTTTATCGAAATGTCACAAGTAACATTTAATTCAGTTCTATGGGCTTACCACAGTGCGATGAGGTTGTACCACGTCTCACTGCATGCTGTACTTTTTTAAAGCCCACACCACACGCACCTAGTGTTATGTGCCAAGTACATCTATGACAAAGCAATCTGTCTATCTTGCGCTCAGGCTGCTCTGGAAAAAAGGGCCAGCGCAGCTCGAACGCAGACAGTGTCAATCAGCCCTAAAACTGCATATCAGGGCCAGTGCTTAGGGGACCAGCTGATTCTGCAGGAAACTAAAACTTTTAGGCATTAAGGAGCCACATCCACTGAAAGTGATTTCATTTGCATTTGTAATATCTTAAAATCATTTTGATTTCAATATCACTTTAAGTCTGAACTATTGTTTCGCTATTTTTCAATTACTGGTTTGGATCCAAATCTGTACACGAGATCTTCTTCATGTTGTCTTTTGGCATTAGATTTGTTGTCCCAATAATTTGCACAACGTATATTATATGCATAGTGCAGACATAATCTCTTTTGCCCCCTCTCAAACTGCATACTAGCTGGTGGCGATAGGCAATTGCTTAATAAATCCCCCCAGTAGCCCAGATCACTATCAGACATAGTGGGTAGGATTTTGAAAAAAAAAGTTTTTCTTTTGCACAGGTAATTTCAAAGGCAAGAAATTAGGTTTAAGCCATGGTATGTGTTAGTGGAAATATATTACCATAATTAATACAGTAAATTATCCCAAGTGAATGACTTGTACTACACAGATAAAAACAAATAGTAAACAGGATTCTCTGATTTAGTGGAAGCCTTCCACACAAACTCAATAATTTTAGCTTCCTTTTAGTAATGTTTCATGTGAAAACATTTCTGGAACACATAGGAGGGGGCTAGAGGAGAAACAATATTAATGTTAATTTTTACTCATTCATTACATTTGTACATAATAACCTTGACCATAAATTAGTACTTTGTAACTAAATAAGTTAGTTTAAATACATGTTAACTAGTGTCTACAGTAAACAACGTAACAAAATGTACATTCTTACCTGGAAAACCCACTGTTTTCAGCACAATTCCAGAGGAGCCTTGTGGTAACATAACCTTGGGTGAAGCTCCCTCTCCAACCGATGTACCCATTGTCTGCCCTCTTGCAGATGCTCCTGCTCCATCTTGCTCACTATCCCCACTCTGCATTGCTCTTGCTGTAGCCTGGAGCATCTGAGAACAGGTAGCATCCCCAGGTGGAGGCAATCTCAGTAGGAGGCCAGAATAGAAATTTTGATATCCAAGGAGCCTGGAGGATGAGGAAGATGATGGGGAATTTGAAGTTGTGGTATGGGTGGACTGAGAAGGTTGATGTACAGGGGGCTCCTGCCCTCCTACCCCTTTTATCTTGCCAAGGTGGACCTTCATATGGTTTTTCAGGAACCATGACTCCTTGAAGCATCGTCCACAAACTGAGCATCGATGGTCAAAGGAGTCCTTATGCTTACGCATATGGCCTTTCAAGAACCAGGACTGGGTGAAGCTCTGGGAGCAAACCTCACATTTAAACTCAGCAGGAGGCAGAGCAGGAGTTGGAGTTGGTGTAGGTGGAACAATCTTGGGTCGCTGAGGAGCTGAATGTCTCCTCTCAACATGAACTATTAGCTCCCCCTCCTGAGATGCTGCAAAGTCACAGAGGTGACATTTATAAGGCCTGTGAAGAATTCTGAGGTGGCGTTCCAGTTCAGCTGCCTTACGAAATTTACCTTTGCAAAAAGGGCAAGGGTGGCGAAGTGTGGGATGTTTAGCTGGAATAGTCAATAGCGGGACTGGCTCCTGAACATCTTCTGTAGCTGAATTTGATATTACTGGGGAATTTGGTTCTTTTTGATGCTGGCGCCCCAGCAGCAACGGCCTTTGGGAGTTTGTCTCAAAAGGAGTCTTGTGCCCTCCACGACCCTGTGCAAGGTTTCCACGCACCCTGTGGGTGCTTGCATGAAGTGCTAGAATGCTGATAAAACGGAACTGTTTCCCACATATCGTACATGGAAACTGACGGGACTTGGAGCTTGAACCATCAGAAAAACCGTTGGAATGGCGCTGAAGATCCAGTTCTTCATCGGCAAAAGAAATGCCAAGCAGGGATGATGAGGCAGGCAGAGATGCAGGTGGAGGGGAAGGAGAAGGTGATGTTTGAGATGGTGAAAGGGAAGATGGAGGAGGAGATGGTGAGGATGGAGGCAGTGTGAATAATGGACAATTGTCAGGATTTTGTGGGGAAGGTGGAATACTTATGCTGGGAGAGACTGGAGGTGTGGAAGAGACTGGAGGTGTGGAAGGAGCAGAAGAGTCAGCTGGTGGGCATAGAGAAACTGGAGATGGAGTACAAGAGACTGGAGGAGGAGATTCAGATGGTGGAGGGGGAGAAAGAGCACTTGGAGGTGGACTTGGAGTAACAGGAGGACGACAGAAATTAACACTTTGAGGAGAAATGCTCTCAGGAGGGGCACACAGTGAGACAGGGGAGGGAGAAACTGGAGAAGTGAGAGGGAGAGAGGTTGCTGCAGGACTGATATAGGGTAAAGGCAAGGACTTTGATGGAGAATTTTGAGAAGGAAAAGGCAGATTTGTGATATGAGGAGGTGAAAGGGAATCAGAAGAGATATGAAGAGATGATGGCGGGCTTGGAGGGGAAGCAGGTTGAGGAGATGTGGGGGATATGTTTATCTGCTCAGAAATAGATTGTGGAGGTGATGAAGGATTCATATGAGGAGACTGAGAAGGAAGGGTTTGAGTGAGAAGAGGTGGAGCAGAGTCCATTGCTAAGATGTTTTAATGGGTCTCTCCTGGGATGTTGGTTATTCTCCTAGTCAAAGATAAAACACAAAACAAAAATCAGATGTTTTAGGTATATCAGATGTTTTGAGGTGTATTTTTGCTTTTTAAAGAAGAACATTTACATTTATTCAGAAACAATGTTCTTCTCATACACAAGAAAACATTTATGAAACGGTCTAAAGACACTGACTTCATAATAAATTACCAATAAGATTACCAAATGATAGCAAGCACTCATTTTGTTTTATAATAAAAAAAGACACATACTTGATGTATAAAAAAAAATATCTTTAAAAACGAACTTTAACCCGGATGATTTGTTTTCAAGTAAGCACTAGATAGGTTACATGGAAATGTTTGCTGAAGCCTAGACAGTTTATATATTCCTTCAAAATACACAAATGTCAGTCCTAGTCCTATACCCATAATCGTTTTTAATATTATCAATAAGGAATGATTAAGGAATTTCCATGTATGTACCCATGTGTCAGATACTTTGTTGTTGCCATCCCCCTTGTAAGTTATGATAGTACAGTGGAGGGAAAAGTCAATAGAAGATCGTGTTATGTTTTAGTACACATGATTCTAGTTATAATGCTGAATGAATGGTGCTTATGGGAAATTCCCACAAAATACACAAACTCCTCATGTTAAAATCCAGAACTTTAAGTAGCAGTAACTTTGTGTGTTAATTGGGTTCATTTTGTTATATGTATTGTTCAATAAAAATGCACTGCATATGCCTTACTCCTATAGGAGGCAGACGTGGTGTGACTGGGGGAAACCATCACCTTTATCCTTCCAGGTATGCGGAGATGGCTGGTAATGTTGAAACAAACCTGTTTATTACAACTGCAAAATATCAATGAGGATGTGTGCCAAATTCAGGAAACAAATGCCGGCATACATGTGTCACAGCGATGCTCAGTTGTGAACGGTGACTAAAAGGAAAGAAGTATGGACTCTGCCATTGCTGATACCTCCTTCTAAAAATACTAGTCCCCTGGCTGGCCCGTGATTATCCAAAGGCTTCACTAGTTTCTAAGTCAATGACAGGGAACAAGCTGGCATAAAATCTGGTGATATTTTCAGGGGTGTGTGTGCTGGTAATATAGGTTTAACAATCTAAAAATATGCATGAAAAGTATAACCCAAGATTTTATTCCAAGCATATTTTAGGAAATTCTTGAAAATCTCTAGTTTGCCGTAACAGTAAAATTAGATCGGTTTGATGTGTTCTAAGGAAAACAAATTCAGCTTAAATGAAAAAACATAGGAGTACTTTCGGCATAGTTATCCTTTAAATGTTCCTCCTCCTTCCCCTTTCTCCAGCAACCCCCCCCCCCCCCCA